AACATGCATATCCGTATATTTCATGTTGAGCGTATCTCATAATATCAATATTAAAGTTAGTCAAAAAGGATTTCAATTTAAGAAAAATGATATAAAAATCGGACTTTCGAGTGCTCCGTAATCGTCGGAATTTACAATAGAAGAACAATTGCGATATCTGATAGAAACCTTTCTTCTCCTAGATTTTTCATAAAGGTAAAGAATTAAATTATTTTTTAACCTTTGATGGTCATTATTCTTGAATAAAAAAGATGTAATAGACTGGCATGTCTTTGATATTTTCTTCTTGTCATTTTCTCGAGTTGGTCAATTTTTCTTTTTTTCGTCGGCAATTTGCGTGTTGACGATTTACAATATACTATTGGAATGATTCTTTTTTAATGAACGTTATTTTATGAATAACAATTACAATAGAAATGAACATCGTTCACTTTTATTTTATAAATTCTATTTTGCATCGTCAGGTGTTAAAAAATCAATTCATTTAACTTGGATGTTTGGTGCTTCAGGGCAAAGGGATTAGACAGGGTCGTAAATTTCACCTGATTAAGTAATTGACTCTTATCAAATAGGTGATTATAATACAGGTAACAAGTGTTAACAATTTTAATCTGTTGTCTTAATGAAGTGTATGTATAAAGAACTCAACAAAATGGCGACAATATGAGGAAAAAAGATCGTTGTTTAAACTTTTTTCAAAAGGGCACAGAGGGGCGCATAAAAAAGGCAGAGGGGCGCAAAATTTCGGGGGCGGGGCGCGGCGCCCCTCCATTTCATGCTAGCTGGAACACTGGATATGCACATCTACATAGTATGTCCTTATTATCTGAAAAGGTTTCATGAAATTCTGTTGTGTGGTTTCAGAGGAGTTGCGATGACAAACTGTTGCAGAGGTATATTGAAGCAAATAAGTTCAAAGGGGCGTAGCTCCTAGAAAAAAAATTGAATCGTAATTTCCTGTCGATATGCACATCTACGTAGTATGTCCTTATTATCTGAAAAGGTTTCATGAAATTCTATTGTGTGGTTTGAGAGGAGTTGCGATGACAAAAGGTTGCAGTAGTATATTGGGCAAATAAGTTCAAAGGGGCGTAACTCCTGGAAAAAAAATTGAATCGTAATTTCCTGTCGATATGCACATCTACGTAGTATGTCCTTATTATCTACAAAGTTTCATGAAATTTTGTTGTGTGGTTTCAGAGGAGTTGAGATGACAAACTGTTGCAGTAGTACATTAAAGTAAATAAGTTCAAAGGGGCGTAACTCCTAGAAAAAAATTTAAATCGTAATTTCCTGTCGATATGCACAACTACATAGGTTGTCCTTATTATCTAAAAAGGTTTCATGAAATTCTGTTGTGTGGTTTGAGAGAGAGTTGCGATGACAAGAAACAGGACTGACGGACTGACGGACTGACAGACGGACGGACGGGTCAAAAACATTATACCCTCCGCAACTCGTTGCGTGGGGTATAATGAGTACAGATGTTCATATATACTGAAGGTAAAATAAAACTTGCACTTCAAATTTTATACTCACAGTGTTCTCCCCAGGATTTTTGGATAGCACCAGGGTAATGCGTGTCAAAATGATTTGTACAATATGTTGTGTCGTGTTGCATTGCTTTTTTTTTCTTGTTAGTTTTTGTGACTTACCTTTTTGTCTTTGTTTTATTTACTGTGTTATGTAGACTTTGGGTCAAAAAATTACTGGTAAAAAAAGAAGTAAATCAATAAACAGTTTGTATACTTTAATTTCTTTTAAGAATAAATAAAAGAAAGCACTATTAGTCTTTAAACTTAAATCACTTTTTATATTTTGATCAAGCCAATTTGTCCTGATACTTGTAGTTACACTACACTTTCCCCATTTTTGTTAGATTACACCATAACAATTGAATTTATACAAGATTAAATTTTAATGCAGAACCTCTAGTAAATTAAAAACTATTTTCCATAGCTTTAGACATGATTTTTGTAAACAACAATACAATTATTATTAGAATCATTATTGTGTTACTTGGTAGATAGACATGTAAACTAAATTTATATCATCTATATGTACACCCATATATCATATCAAGCTGAGGTCCAATCAATGTCTTAAGACTGGGACTACTTTAACAGAAATCAGTTACCAATCTGAAAATACTACCTATTTATTATAATATGTCTGTGCATTAATAAAAGTATGATTATCAAAAATAATTTGCAATATATTTTTGTTGGTATGTTCAAAGAAAGTTTTTATCCTCAAGGTAACATTCTTATATAATTCTGCATTCAATTTGTACTTTATTTCTATTTTCAATGATAGATGATATTTTAGGAGCACTTATTTGTAATAATCTAATTCAGGGGAAGTAACTCCAACACGTTTAAAATACGCAAATTATTTATAACCAAAGGCTGGAGTAATAGAGTTAATGAACAAATGTCTGCTTGTCCCTCACAAATCTGATCATTAATTATGATCTCTTAATTAATTAAAACACAAAAGAATCATGTACATCGATTCAATCCAATCATCAAGGTTAACCTCAAAAGGTAAATCGATCATGTGGTGTAAACAATCAAGTTGTTTGAACTGGTTTGAACTGGTCAATTTTCATCTGAAATTTTATACCCCACGGTAAAGGTTAAACAAGACGTTTAAAACTTTACTGATTTACGATTTTTTTACCGAAAATTTTAGCACCACGGAGAAAAATTATACATCGCGGCAAGAACGATACCACCACGGTAGAAAATTATACATCACGGGCCCGCGGTCCTTTAAGGGCCTGGGGAGAACACTGACTCATATGCAATGTTTTAATCTACTCCCTTAAAGAGCAATGAATTTGTTGCATGAAACATAAAAGTACCTGTTTGTTTGAAATCTATATTACAGAAAGGTAAAATTCATAATTTATATAACCTTTTGTTACCTGCAACAATATAAACCCATTAAATATTTAATTCACCTAAGTAACTTTTCCTGAAGTCATACAAAATTAACATATTTGGGGCAATATCGCATTATGGATGTCATTATTAAACAATTTGATATCGGAAAATTTCTATGTAGGTCTGCCAAGTTGTAGGGTTTCTGTGAGTCGACATTATTTACAAACAATAACTATAAATATGACCATTTAAATGGAATTAAATGTAACAAAGAGAACTATATGTACAGTTACTTTGAATGGCAATTTTATTCCCCTCTTTTGATGAAATATGAAATAACTCAATAACCGAACACGAAAAATAGAATTACACTTGTCAGGGTAAAATGTTACATTCATTGATAGTGCCTGTTGAAGCATGCATTATTAATATTTTGACGCAGGTACAAATAAATATAACGAATCAGGTAAATGATTACAGGTGTACCGTCTTACTATGAAAAACATTTAAAGGAATTTTGACATAACAGGAGTAAACAGTTTAAAGTGAAAACGTCTTTTGTATATAATACATAGATAAAGCATTACTTCATAGTTCATGTACACACAGGCATTTTCATAACGTTTATTACGCATAGGAATTTTTTCATAACGTTTTCAACTAGAATAAAAACATATGTTGTAAACTGTTAAAAAATATCCGACAGCTGTCATGGAATGTGAATTTTTTGTCACAATATAAATATCAATCTTATGAAACTCCCTAATGAGTACATGTAGGCTTAAATAAAAACAAACATTAGTATAGGACCCAGTTGTTTAAAACATTACTAAGATTTATCCAGTAGATAAACATTATTACATGTACAATGTAAATGTATTCGACAAAGCATAACAGAATTACTTCTCAAAAGTCAAAAACAGTTTTTCAATCAAACAAAAAATCAGAATTTATACTTGAAAACAATTGCAGGTGTATGATTCATTAATTTATACTTAGTTTTCATTTTAATACATTCTTCATGATAGTTTATAAAAGTACAACTAAACATATAAGTAAAATAAGATTTTTTTTATATTTGTATAACTGGCATGTGATTATCCTTTAAACATGATTGAAACAACAGATACATGTATATGACTAAAGTGAACTCTTTCATTATCATGACTATTCTCATACTTTTTTGAAACCCAAAATTATAAAGTTAAATGCTAATTGTTGTGCACCATTGGAAATTATGTACAAACTGTAATTAATTTTAATAACAGTTCCTTATCTTAAATTTGTGTACACACGTTAACAAAATTGTAGAAAACTGAAGGTGAACATTGTCAGATATTTCCCCACTCTTATATATGTCTCAAAGAACTGTCTTTCCTAATAAACAACCTTGAAAAAAGTTGCATACCATTCAATGTTAAACCTATTTCCCCTTCCACTATGTCAGAGTGAAGCACATGTGCATTATGATATCAATTTTCAACAAAATAATGTTATAAATGTTACAATCTATAATTAACTGTTAAGAATCTGCAAACAATGTACTATGAATTAGGTCTATATACAAACTAAATCTAGAAGTACATTAACATAGGGAAAAGCATTTTCTATCTAAACAATTATGTAATGTACATTTTCTAAGACCATATATACATGATATATATCTACATGCAATACCATCCACTGTTAATTTTATCATATAGCTTTTGATGGATAATGTACCAGGACAATTGTAATCAATTACACCCTTCCTATTCCTTTCATTTATTGAAAAAATCTTCTGATAAAACCTACCCATAAAGTAAAACCTTTTTCTATGGTTTTGTTTGGTAGCGGTTAAATCAATATCAACATTCTTGTGATAATCACCGATAATGATTGAATTGCATGATAGTCAACTCTATAATACATGTAGACTGAAATAGATACACTGCGCAAGTAATTTTATACTGGGAAATTATTATGGACTGAATTCTAACTGTAAAATAAGCAAAAGAGTACACATACATTTGTATAAATGTACATGTATGTACAATGAAGTTTCATGTTACATATTAAAGCTCGGCTGTGTTCTCCTAATATACATGGAGAATGATTTTTTGATGGACTTACCACATAAAATGATTTGATATTTCGGATCAGTATATCCCAATTCTGTAATCTACTGTTCATATCATCTACAGTATCATTGACATTGTCATAGACCGGTCGACTGTCACTGCAATATGGAAAATTTAACATAAAATTTAAAATATGTTCTTTCTTTAGTTTGGACTGTATTCACAACATACTTTTAAAGTGTCACATCTGACTATGAAAAAAGGACACTCATTGAAATGTTTGCAAGTAAATAAATGTCAAAAAAATGCCTAAGTCCCTTGACATATTGTCTTTTAATAACATCAAATTCATTGTACTGGCATGACATGTACATAAGAATGGAAAAGCCGAAAAAGATAGTTTGAAATGGTTTACATGGCATAAAGATAACTAATCTAAATGTACGTTTACACAGGTAGAAAATAACTTCAGTTAGAACAGATTATTATATTTCAAAGTGAAATTACTTGAAATTTAAAAAAAAAAGTGTTTTTTTTTCTCCAGCAACAACCTCTAACAATTCTCTCTACACATTTCTTTGTTGATAAAAGGAGATGCAGGCTACATACAGTAAATGACAAGAAGAGACAAAATAAGCAGATGACTTAATTTGAAGTGAATGCAGCCATTTATGCAGCTACATGTACACACTTCTGTATAAAATCCTGCACATAAACTTTTAAACCATGTTCATTTTTGTACCCGGTTCACATTTTTCTAATCTTAAAAATGTAGTAAGCTTTTGTATAATACATGTACAATGTAGCTGACAAGACAGTGCAAAACTGATAATGTCTGTCTGGCCTTCATGTTCAAATGTACATGTACCTTTCAATTTATAAGGTTTTGATATTACAAAATACATGTAAAAGGATACATGCTAGTATGTACATTACGTGATGATGATGTGCATGTACAACATGTACATTAGTACATGTGCATGGGATATTGTGTCTCTTAATAATTAACTATTACCGCACATTCTTGTGTAAACTTAGTAACTTACATTTGTTGAAGCACTTTATTCAGAAAAATTCCATCATGGAGATCTTGAAATTCTATTGATCTTCCATTTGCAAAAGTCTCCACCTAAAATAAACCAACTAAATTAAATGCAAAGAATCATGCATGCACACAAAAATTATATCAAGCAAATATTTATATAGTGACCTAAAGTACTGTTGTCATTTGGTCTCTCGTGGAGAGTTGTCTCATTGGCAATCATACCACATGTTCTTATTTTCATAAATACAACAGTTCTGTGATTTAATCATTTAGTTATTTCAGATGTCAGTAATTACGAAAACTACCTGTATTTACACTAACCTGACCTACTTTTTTAGTAACCTAATTGTTAGTGCCTACGCTAAATATTTTTTTGGACAAGCAGTAAAAAATTCAGATTGTTTGAACTTTCTCCTGTTTAAAACAGTCAAAAACATATCTAAGAAAAAAATATACGCTGAATGTACAATGTATGTACAAATTCTAATTTTGTTCAGCCTCTTAGCACAATCATAGGTACATGTATTTACTATTATTTTTTACATCAATGTTATAGGGTTCTCTATGAGTTGACAGTCTGAATTTGCTGTTTAGGTTGTATACATGTACTGTCTGGTGCAGGACACACTTCACTTCAAACTTCAACTTCAATTAGGTTACTTATTAACATCCGCAACCAGACATTTCACTAAGGACTATTTACACATGTGCAGAGGAGCCTCAAAAGTTTTAAAAGAAAAACGTATTTACACTGTATAATTATGTAGAAGTTTAGCATACTCCCTTGACTGCCAGCTTAAATGCGTCCAATTCTGGGACGGCTATCACAGGTGGTGGTAGTTGGTTCCATAAGATAATCGGTCGTGGAAAGAATGAGTATTTACATGTACATTGAAAGAAAGGACTGTTGTGACTGTATAGTAACTTGCCACTAGTCTGCAAGCAGTACTTAAAAAAAATATTGGTACCAACAGTATGTAAATTGTTCCTTTATACAAGGATTTGTATAGTAAGATTAAATCCTTGCATTATATATAAGACTTTACTTTTTTATATCAAAAGATCTTTCGCTATAGGTACATTGATTACGACATCATGCAATTTTCATGGATTGTTTGGCAGTAAAAATTTTCCCGTATTTGAGATGTTTGCCCAGTTATGGCATGTTTATTTTGAGAAAAATTGAAAAGTATTTATTCATTAAAACATTTGAAGGAAACGATTGACATTGCTTCAAAAAATAATTAAGTACAAAATGTACTCAAACTTTTATCAAAGCTTTTTCCCATGTGTCCAGAAAATATTTTGTGGTGCAGTTGTAGTAGTGTATTATGGTTAATCAATAAAAAACCTTTAGATTTTTTTTTAAAGTCTCATATGTACTTTTAAGTCTATGTTATTGATAACTCGCTTGCATTCCCCGACTTCAGGCATGTTAAAAATTAGTCTATAAATCGACACATGACAAACTTTGCATGAAAAACATATACATTACCCAAAGGACGAGTGGAGACTCCATGAAACTTGCGCATGATGCCATTTTCAGCAGCTTGCCTGGTCATGCATTCACATTCTTTCGTAAAAATACAAAACAAAATCAGACGCAACAAATTAGATTATATTCCAAATAAAATTAATGATCATAGTTTGTCACACGTAAACAAATAAGCTACACAAATTATCAATCAATTTATCCTTTTGCCATGCACTAGAATTTGTTCGTTATTAAATTCCATATTAAAAGTAAATAAAGTGAGAAATGTGTATTTAAACCTCCGTCCATTGCTCGCGAAGGTAACAGCACTGTAATTAACCTTTCTTTCGAAATTCATACGCGACAGGTAAAGATTTATAAACGCTTTTAATGTTTAAATGGTTGAAATCTCATTAATTTATATTGTCTTTTTCAATATATTTTCTATGTCCGTAGTATTGTTTGAATTTTAAAAATCAAAGGTACATAAAAACTAGTTTCTCATAAGCACTATTTTTACGTGTAGACCGGAACTGGTATGAGACGACATCTATTGGGCGATGCTAATGACGCTAAGAAAAACTAACTCCTCTGAGAAAATATAAGGACTATTCGATTAGCACAATCAGTATCAATCAAGCAACTAAATACAGAAATTTACTCATTTTTAAATAAAAGCTAGAAGACTTAGCCGAAATTTCCAGAAGTAATAAATTTAAATAAACACAATTGTTTTATTCATATTTTTATTTTCACTGGTTTCCGATTAAAAAAAAAAGAAAAGACTCTTTGAAAGAAAAGCGGTATGATATAAACATGTGCCGCCGGTACACGCCTGGTAAGCCATAAAATCTCAACCAAATGGTTAAGCGAGAAAAAAGTTTACTGGCACTTCCTATTGAGCTTTTCTGGTACAAAATATTAAAAATATAGATAGGGTTGGTCGACTTTTCATCAATTTATTGTCAATCTGTAAACATTTTCTTAAATAGGAGAATGTCATGCCATATATAACTGAGGTCTCGTTCATTACTCGGACCAGTGTGATTTAAAATGACAGCGGAATGACTTTTCTCCCGCAGGTAAGTCACGGTGGGTAAGGTTGTCCTGCGAGAGAACGTTTTGTGCTGGTGATTCGGTCCTGAATGGTGCTGGTGATCATTAGAAATATGTAAACAAAGACGAAAATGACGAATTTTGACGTTTTCTCGCATAAAAAATGGAAGGAAACAGTTGAGATGTTTTAATTTTGTTTCTTATGGGTTCATAGGCAAACAATTACAAATGGGACCCTCTAAACTGTTTCAGTCAGCGTAACACAAAAGTGCTCTTTTTTAGAAAATCTAGAATTGAAAAAATAAAACAAAAATGCTCCTGGAGTCCGCTTTCTATACCCAAATCCACACGACAAAATTTTTTTGTGAAAAACCTGTGCAATTTATTAAAATTGTGCATTTTCTCAGTTTAGACATGTCCTGGTTCTGTGCTGGTGGGTCCTGTCATTGTGCTGGTGGGTCCTGATACGGTGCTGGTGATTTTGGGTAAACAGTTGGTTATATTTGAAACAAACGTTACAGAATCAATAAAATTGGGCAGATAATTGTATCCAATCGGATTTGTGACTCCTATTTTTACTGATGTGCATCCATTTGGCTGTTTAATAAGCGTATTCAAATAATCGTAACTTATATTACATAAAAGTGCCGCTTGAACATCTTCCGTCCAATATCAGATGAAAATATATCTAAGGCCAATTAAAATTAATTGATAGATTTTCATCCCCGCCCGCCCCTCTGAAATCGTCCCGCCCCGATTTTTTTTATTTTTAAAAATTTACGATTTCCGGATTTTGTTCATTTCCGTTACCGGAAACCACCGATAATTTCGTTTCGTTCATAACTTCCTGTAGCAAATTTCGGTTTTCGTATTTCTTCGAGTAATTTAACAAAAATGATTAAGTCGAAATATTCTGCTGCTCTATGATGACAACATTATCTTCCGAGAAAAGAGATTGCTTACGAGAAGGGCATGAAATATTCGGGTTACGAGTGACAGGCGGTGTCCAAGAACGCAAATCGCGGTCAGTGATTAGAAACCTGTGGATTTTTTTATTTATACAATGACTTTGTGTCAGGAAATTTGGACTGTGAATGATATCCAAAGCACAAGAATCGTGGAATACATTGCTGCAATAAAAAACATGACTGGGATAAAGAAATTGACACAAGCACGAACTTGTGCGATCTAAGACCATATATTGAGTACAAAAAAGTCTGCCAATGTAATGCTATGTCTTAAAACTTTTCCAGATACACAGGGTTATCTGTACTCGGAGTAAATTTTGAGGTGAAAATGCAGCATAAACCATAGTATTTGCAACATAGTTTGAGCTTTAATTTCACTCTGTACTCATAATACTTGTAATGGGCACTACAAAGCTAAGTACTACTTAGAAAGCAAAATAAATTTGATGTAGGTAGTCTAAAAGAGAACATTTCTCCACCTTTTTGCTATTTACTAAAAATTGGTTTCTAAAGAGGCAATCACATGTAGAACAGTGGTTGCCAATCCGAAATCTTTATTAAGAATTTGAAAAATTATGTAGAATTCCTTATATATACATGATATAAGCTTAATATTACCCTTGCATATGAACAGTCTGATTGAAACCAGCCCCCAATATCTACAAAGGCAAATGGAAAGTGGGGGCTGGTTTTAATTAGACTGGCATATGAAGAACACGTCACAAAAGGGTTTCGGAGGAAATAAAAATTAAAAAATAAAATCCTCCCACCCGCCCCATTTTTTTCAAAAATTTGGATGAAAATCTACTAATTAATTTTAGTTGGCCTAATTAGAATAGTTTTATTTAAGATATTAAATGCCCTTAAATTGATGATTCTCTACATAATATGCTAACTAAAACAGTTTTAAAAGGTGCTTAAGGTAAAGCGACATGTATATTATAACGACAATAAACGTTGACTGGTTTATTTCAGTTAAATATACGAGGTTAGATGATCTTACTACTGGTGCCTCTAATTTCTTCCTTAATATGTACACTGTCTCCAATACATTTCGACTGGATAAAAAAAACGACCTAGACTTGCTTTTCATACATGACTGATAAAAACTCACTAGATTGGAACAAGATGTGAACAATTGCAAGTCAAAGTATGACCTTCAACAACGAGCAAAAACCATAACGAATACTAGCTATAAAAATCACGGTAAACGATTAAAAAAAGAAGATCTTCGGCCTGATTTAAAATACAACTTTGAACAAAAAACAAACATGACAGATAGCAAGCATCGACAACCACTGGTTTTGGGCACTTGTGACAGGGCTGAACATGTTTGTTTGCGCTCCACACCCCACCCAACCCCTCCTCCTTTCCTCCTTCATTGGTACAGTGGTGTAACAACACAACACTTAGCACACAAAACAATAACATAAAGACACAAATTATGTAACCACGAGAAATCGCAGCTACTGAAAGCTAGTTCAACTAATAGATAAACCATGTTCTCTAAGATTAAAATCTCAATCGGTACACATCAAACAAATTCCGCAAAAATTAAGTTTACATTTTAATTTTTGTTTTAGCAAAACTTTAAAACTTTTAAATCAAATTTTCATGGACTTTGATCCACTTTTTAGCTCCCACCCTGACGAGCCATGTAAGCTGTCGTTATCCTGTTGCACCTACCGCCCGTAAACTTTCATATTTCCATCTTTTTACCCAATTCATACGTGACAGTATTATTGTCCTAGTAACTGGTGTTACCAATGTATCAAACATTCTAAGTTAAAAAAATCCACAATACTATATTCATTTTGTGTGTCAATTTGTTTAGACAAAACAAAACTGCAAAAACTTCGAATACAAGAGAGTATTTTTTTTAAATATCATTATTATCTGTCGATTTCTAGATCTATGCATAGTATTTATTTCAGATGACATGGATTTCACACCCTGGTGATCCTGCTTCCCTTTATATATTCATATCTATCGTCCTTCCCTACGTCTATATCACCCTGCTCAGTCGCTCCGTAATTCTCGTATCACGGCTTTGAGACGAGAGCAGGCATTATCGGTAGCACGGTAGTATTTGCATTCCAGAATTCAGGTTGCTCTTTTGTGTACCCTACTTAAGTCAATGTATCTGAACATTATGATTGGACAAAAAATACAGTATCAACTGAACATACTTTCCCAAACTGAGGGATTAATCAGGTGTAGAAAAATATGAAATAATTTTACATACAGATGAAAATGAATTTTTGAGAATTTTTTTAAATTGTGTATTCACTGCACGATAAAAGACCTAAAAGCACTAGTGGCCTTAGGTTCTTAAAGATAGCAAACAAAGTAAACGGTCATGATACATATTCAAATTCATTTCTGAATAGTAAAATGAAAGTACTTCAGTAAACTGTGAATGTAGAATTTTTAGCAGTGTTAGAAAGTGGTGAAAATTCTAAAAAGGCTATCATTATCCCTTATGGGCCAGGAAATACTACCGTGCCACCTTATCAGCGACGTCACAATGTGAGAGGAGACGTTATCAAGCTTGCTTTCGTCAAGCGTAAAACTGTCTTAGGGAGGGGGAAAAGACCAGTTATAGAACGATAAACAGATAATCGGGTTTTCTTCGTATAGATATCGTAAAATATCTGCCGCTCGACACAATGTGAAGCCTTTTCTCTCGTACGCTCGCCAAAAAGGTTCACATTGTGGCTCGCGGTTGATATTTTACGATATCAATGTGTAGAAAACCCGATAATCTATACACATATATAAATAAACAAACTAAAGGCTGCAACTGGTATTTTTGCATTTAAAATGATTCATTACAACAAGAATATTTGTATTGAATGGAAACTGTGTGGGTCAAAATCTTGTATTGCTGATAAATGTTGCTGGACCAAGTTTCGGCATCTGATCTGAATTTTATGAAAAGGGTAAGGTAGATAGACATTGGCCTGATGAATATTTTTACTCGGTAAGTTTTGCTCTACCCATGCTAACTGCTTGAACTTTTGCGATATAAACTAAAAATTCGAATATATTTTAACAAACAGTGGTCATGTTTGTTGATGAATATTGTTTTTCCTAGATTCACTCAGGAAAATTCATTTGGTAACATTTGGTCAAGCAATTTCAGAGAAGATTTTTTTTTAATTACGGACGCCAAGTCAATATCTCACACGGCCCCTTGATCCAGGTGAGCTTAGAGCGAAACGGGTTGATAACCAGTTGAAATTAAACCAAGTTTTGTAAAGTTTGTATATTTGGATTGTTTAAAACTGTTTTTATAGC